CTGAAGCTGTCGGCCTTGTTAGACAGTATTCAGTATAAAAATAAACAAAAAACAGCCGATATTTCGTCAACATGAAGCTGTCGGCCTTTTAAGACAGTCTTCAGTATAAAAATAACAAAACCCAGCCGATATTTCGTCAACCTGAAGCCGTCGGCCTTGTAAGACAGTCTTCAGTATAAAAAAAAACAAAAAAACAGCCGATATTTCGTCAACCTGAAGCTGTCGGCCTTGTAAGACAGTCTTCAGTATAAAAATAAACAAAAAACAGCCGATATTTCGTCAACCTGAAGCTGTTGGCCTTTTTAGACAGTCTGCAGTATAAAAATAACAAAAAACAGCCGATATTTCGTAAACCTGAAGCTGTCGGCCTTGTAAGACAGTCTTCAGTATAAAAAAAAACAAAAAACAGCCGATATTTCGTGAACATGAAGCTGTTGGCCTTGTTAGACAGTCTGCAGTATAAAAATAACAAAAAACAGCCGATATTTCGTCAACCTGAAGCTGTCGGCCTTGTTAGACAGTCTTCAGTATAAAAATAAACAAAAAACAGCCGATATTTCGTGAACATGAAGCTGTTGGCCTTGTTAGACAGTCTGCAGTATAAAAATAACAAAAAACAGCCGATATTTCGTGAACCTGAAGCTGTCGGCCTTGTTAGACAGTCTTCAGTATAAAAATAAACAAAAAACAGCCTATATTTCGCTATCGTCTGCTGGATAACCGAAATACGCTGTAGTGAAGCGGACGTAAAACCTATCAATCAATCAATCAATCAGCCGATATTTCGTGAACCTGAAGCTGTCGGCCTTGTTAGACAGTCTTCAGTATAAAAATAAACAAAAATCAGCCGATATTTCGTGAAGATGAAGCTGTCGTCCCTGTTGGGCAGGCATTAGTTTTGTCTTAGTTGGACGATCTACCGTTTTGTTAAGCTGAAGCAATTGTTCTTGTCAGACAGTCTTCGGTATAAAAATGAACAATATATTACTAATATTTCGTGAACCTGAATGAAACTATCATCTTTGTTGGACGGATTTCTTGTATATATTTAATCGTTATTTATATCTCGTTATAACGACTCTTTGATATTCTATTCAATCAATATATTTCTTGATTGACAGACGTTGCTATAAACATGCAAATCTTAACTCAATTTGATTTATTTTAAAATGTATTAAATAATTATTTTAGAATAGACAGCCCTGATATATATACACTGATAGATTTTAAAAAGAAAATGTCATGTAATGGTTTTGAAAAAAATGACACACTATTATGATAAGAAACGTCACCTCGCTTACGTCATCTTCTCTGGGATGGGTTCCCCGTCCTTCGACAGACATGGCCGGGCTATCATAAGTGTTTCGTCCTTCGACAGACATGGCCGGGCTATCTTTAGTGCTTCGTCCGTCGACAGACATGGCCGGGCTATCATTAGCGTTTCGTTACATGAAATGAAAATATGTTCACTCTGGCGAAATATCCCGCTAAAACAACACAAAAACAGGGAAATAACTCATCATGTTGGTTGAGATTTCCACTATAAAGGTCACTGAGCGCATGCTTCCCAACAACTTTAGCTTCAATAGATGCTAGACAAAGATTTTACAATCACCATATCATTGTTTACTTAGGGCTGAATTATTGTAAATTCATCCAAAATGGAATGGTTATATTTAAAATATCCAAGTTTCATGGCATTGAGGATGCGACCCCCCCCCCCCCCCCCCCCCCCCCCCCCCCCCCCCGATTATGAGAAGGAAAACTTCCTTTTTGACATTTTTCAATTCGATTACCCCAAAATCAAAATTTGGAAAATTAGTTCGGATTCACGAGGTTTCACTGTTATGAGGTTTTATGAACAGATGTTATATAAGCATATAAGTCCCCCTGAAATACAATATCTGCGTTAACTTTGCTTGACCGTTGCTGTTAGTATAACGCTAAACCCAATCAACCACAGTTAACCACAAGCATGGACAACTCTGGGATTTCATAAGTTTTTCTTGTGCGGAAAATGGGATTTCTTTGTTATTTGCGCACACGTTTTTGGAATTGTTAATTATATGGACTGTATTTTTCAAATTGCTAGAAAGTGTGAAAATTTGTGGTCAACATTTTAAAATCATACATTGTATACGTAGTTGACGAAGCGTCAATTGTCCGTCATTTTTTAGTTCCGCCTTAATATGACGACAAATGGCGGTTCATCATAAAATTGAGTTTCGAATATTTAGGCCGGTTATTAGTCCCAAAAATTCAAAACGGATACTGATTTCTACACATAATTGGTTGATTAAATCTGAAATGGATTGATTTGAAAAATAAAACGAAAAGACAATTTGGAAAAACATAATATAGCATAGAATGAACACACGATAGGCTTGTGAACGAAAACAACACAAATGAACATGGAGCAAAGAAACTTATCGCCGAATGAAATAATACAAATGGACATGTAGATTTAAAACCAGAAATAACAAACTTGATCAAATATGATTATGACGATCATTGTTTAAGGGGTCTTTTTATGTGTAACAATGAGTCATAATTTAAATTGGATGAATTTCATATATTTGTCCACTTCATTTGTTAAATGCGGTTATGTTATTTTATTTTGAATTACGATACTTTGGAGTTTAAAATATTGTTTGCAAGCAAAAGAAATTCTTTGAGCTTATGACATAAATGTAATCCAACTCAGACATTGAACATTTTGTAGTCTTTCTCAATTTAGTTTAGCCTGAATCCCTTAATTTTCGTTCTCATATTTGTCTCATTTTATTTTTTTAAACTCTTGTCAATTTCAAATCTTCATTTTAATAAATCTAAGTTTAACTCAGATTTATTAAAATGAATACAATTTACTGTATTTATTGATTTTGAAGTGAATGCATCCTGAAAATATGATGAAAATGCTCAGTAACATTCACAAGGACATATGAGTATTTTGGTGACAATGTCACGTACCTTGTAAAACATTACAATAAGTTGTCTATGTATAATGTCATATAATCTCTTGATGTCTTCAGAATTTTCTATTCGAGCAAATTCATAACGTAACAGGCACGGTAGTCTAGTGGTAGGACGCAGGGCTCGTGACCGAAGAGTTGCGGGTTCGAGTCAAGTCACGGCACCGTGTTGTATCTTTGAGCAAGATACTTTACTCTGCTTGTTCCAGTCTACTCAGCTGTAAATGAGTACGTGGTTGGGCAGTGCTAGAATTGTTGAATGCTAGCTGTAAGCGCCGAAATGGCAGCACCGACTGTATGGTTGAGAAAGATATTGGCCGGTTGCAAATGCCCTATAACCACGGATAATAATTTAGGAACCACTTTGAGACGACCTACGAACTATATGTTGTGAAAAAGCGGTATATAAGAACCTCGAATTATTACTATTATTATAACAGAGAGTGACACTAACCGATCCATACTATCAGGCTTTCTTAGGCCCCTATGTATACTTCCTTTCTATTTCAAACAATTAATGAAATAAAGCCATACTTCTAGATTTCAATATCTTTCATAACACGTAAACTCTAACCAAGATGATTTTTTAGGGAAAGAAGACAATAAATAAATTGTGGCGTACTTTTTTCTGGTGAAGATTTTGGCGGATATATTGGATTATGGATCACAGGGACCTAAGAATTTGTTACAGCAATATTTGGACCTAAACTAAAGTGTTCAGAGTAATTTTACATGTTTAAGCGGTTTAGATCGACTTTCGGTGAAAATGACACCCCTAATGATTATATATGCGAAATATCCAAACATAGCTGTAACAGATTATCAGGTCCCTGTGGCCTCCACGTGTGTAAAGTATGCGTGCCTTTGTGTAGATATATGTGTTGGAGGCGGTATGTTGGTGTATTTGCCTCCTTGCGACAGCGCGGACCTGATGCCGATAGTGCTACGCAACTGTACTTGATAACACCGCCGAAGGCACCCAGCACATGAGTGTAGGGAATGCGCCCCAACCAAGTGTCGGGACCGACAGTGGTCAAGTCTATTTTATAACATATATAACTACAGCTTTTGTTCGTCCGAGAAAGACGTTTACAGCCAGTGTATAAAATCATAAATTGCTGTGTACTGGATGTGTAACAAATACTATGATGCAAGGATACGTGTGCATGTAGCGAGTAAAAATTCCACCTCGTTAATCCGGATAACAAATAGTTCCGAAATTCACTTTCGGACATTGATAATGCAATGTTGTAGGCCGAATCCTTTACCATCGGGTGTTTCATTGTTTGCATGAAGTATCTCAAAGGAAAAAGACAGTGACTTGGATAATTCGAGCAGATATTTTTTCATATTCTGTTTCCTTATTCACTGTTAAATTAGTTATAAGGGTAACCCTGTATTTATTTAAATATCATTAACTTAAACATTCTTATTGTTGAGACTCTCTCTATAGATTTAAAACTCGGACGGTCCTTAACGACCAGGTTAACAGGTAGACGTGCTAAATAGGTCAGTAACAAATATCACAGCTCAGCTGAAAACGTTTTACCATAATCCGCATAGAACAGAAGTTGATTTTCTTAGCAGCTCGTGATAACAGCAATTGTTTGTCTAAATCTTTGTTGGGTGCGCTGATAAGTTGTGTGTTATGTAGCGAAGTAGGTCAGACAAACAAAATAAAATTAACACCACATATGATATCACGTTATAAAATACCCAGAAACACATCCCTACTGTCATAACGCCGCGTACTTCATGATTGTGAAAGTAATATTTGTTTACCATCATTACACGGGAACAGAAACAAATGTTTACATATTTTTTTCCACAAGTGAACTCCCGTTAGTCGTTATAACAACTCCTGACGTTGTTCACAGGGGTTTGGATAGTCAAAGTGATAATATGAAATTACCCACGGTGTACCGTTAGTTGTGTATTAGGCAGCCGTACAATACACACAGACAAACCCCTGTGGTTTTGATCTAGGGATCACGTGTATTAGGATTGGCCGTTTCACGATCTTTCTATGGGATAACGGTATTAATGCGCGATTTGCGAAAGATTATCATCGTTTGTGGATTTTAATGCTATTCTTATTCATATTCCTCATTATTTCAACATCTGAATTATAAATTGACGATATAAACTAACAAAACAGGATATCTAAGGAGTGAACAGTGCTTATGCACACGGACTATTTTCTTCCGCGGAAATCATGTAATTAACAAGTGCCCGTCGTCCATGTTGTTCTTCGACACCAATCGGATTCTTGAGTGGATTCTAAAAACGAACGGATTTGTGTATTCCCTCCGCGTTCATAACCACGACCCCCTTCCAAACACCTGAGGGGATGACACCATGTAGAAGGAAGTGTTTTTCGTTTTATTTCAATGGGCTGTAATGTGAGTAAGACGGTGCCTGATGACCCGACGGCAACTCGGGTCGTTGTCCAGGTTTTTGAGCAAAATGAGCGAAATAAGGAAAACAGTCGCCAGAATCCACATCAAAAACACTCTCATGCCCGTAACAACAAGGACCAACCGAGGGACCCCCGGGCCTCGGGGCCTCCGGCTGACGGGCAGAGGTCGAACCGAAAGGTGAAAAAATACAGAGATAAATTTGATCCCAGAGTGACAGCTAAATATGACATCAAAGCATTAATAGGAAGGGGGAACTTCTCTAAAGTGGTCAGGGTGGAACATAGGGTTACAAGACAACCCTATGCCATCAAAATGATTGACCGGGTACAGGGCAAAGAAGTTTTCGAAGCAGAGGTCGCTGTCCTACGCCGAGTTAAACATTCGCATATAATACAACTTATAGAAGTGTTCGAGACGAAAGATAAAGTGTACATGGTTATGGAACTTGCGACAGGTGGTGAACTTTTTGACAGAATCATAGCAAAAGGGTCATTTACGGAAAGGGATGCTACTCATGTGCTGAACATGGTTTTGGATGGTGTGAAATACCTGCATGGTTTAGGTATAACACATCGAGATCTGAAACCAGAAAACTTGTTGTACTATCATCCGGGTCATGATTCTAAGATCATGATCACAGACTTCGGATTAAGTGCTACGAAAAAAGGTTCAGATAATTTTATGAGAACTACATGTGGTACTCCAGAATATATAGCCCCAGAAATCATAGCCCGAAAACCCTACACCAGCCAGGTTGACATGTGGGCAGTGGGGGTCATTACCTATATCCTGCTCAGTGGAACTATGCCTTTCGATGATGAAAACAAAACACGTCTTTATCGACTAATCCTGAAGGCAAAATACAGCTATGCTGGAGAGGTGGGTTTATTAATGATGAGCTATAATGTGCAACATGCTTGTTTTTTCAGGTAACAGGGCGGAACATTGGATGACAATGCGGAGGATAAGCTTCTTCTGTGATGAACAGAATCCAATTCAAGATCAATTATTAACCCAACTTGTTTTAAAAGGAAAGAAACTGTTGAATACTTGCGAGATGCATGTTTATTTCTCTCGGTGGAGTAAAAAAGCGTGCACCTTTGGGTATTTTACAAGAATTTTATATATGCTGTAATACCTTAATGCTTTGATCTTCCATATTCTGCGACAGAACTCGTAGATATGAGTGTAATTGTTTGAATCATATGACAAGAACATATTTATATACTGTGAATATACTTTAATTGGAACTAATAAGTTCCAAAATTTGCCTATCTTGAATTTACTTCCAAATGATTAGTATAATCAAATCATTCCATGATAATTTTTCCTGTGATTTCATGTGTTACATATGTAATACTGTCCTGACGATTTGTGAATCTTGCAACAGTTTTCATTGTTAGTTTGAGGCTCCCATTTGTATGTTTAAAACATCTATGGAATACCAATGAACATTTACACTCATTTTCGAAAATTTTAATAGGTTAACATCATCTGCAATTATAATCAAATTCTAGTTTGTCCATAAAAAGCTGCATTTGATCCTAAACAATTGTGTGACAGAATTTCACTTCTTGTGATTTTACCAGTCCATCTTTTTAGAAAAATGTTTATATCTGTCGACTACAGACACATGAAAGCAGACCTTAACATCAGACAATACAATGAACGACAAAAAAAGCATTATAAAATAAAACAGTCGTGCATTTTGTCCACATAAATTCAATTTGATGAAATGCGTTGATGCATATTGGTGAACAATGTACAGCTTCTCAGAAATACCTGGACTCTTTCACGTCATTTTGAAATAGAAGTATGAAAAACTTTGTGTATTTCGTATCAAATTACTTGTCACATGCTTACATTGATTCATTCTGAAACTGGACAGGTTGATAAATTATCCTAGCATTTAATATATTAAGTACATTAGTTTACTACACTGTTTTGCAGGAGTAGAGTCAACCAGAACTGCATACTTTTAGTTGATACCTTTTATGAATTATAATACACCAGAAAAAAAAGCTTCTGAACCATGCATGTATTGTTTATGCAATCAATTGTCATTTCATATTTGATGATGGATAATGATCTTTTAAGATATTTCAATCAATTGTCGATTAAAAATCGGTTAGCAAGCCGTCCCAAATTGTATACATTCTATGATGCAAGCTTGATGATCGTCTTGGTATGTCCCCCGCGGGATCTGATAGTTTAGCTTTTATAGTTACCACTTTAAGCTTTAATTTACATGGGAATCTATAATAACAGAGCAAATCGGCCTCTTAACTTTGCCCAATTGGCATTTAACGTGGAGAATGAACAATAGTAAAAAATTAACCTTTTCACCACTGTAGACCATAATGGACTCATCCAGATCAATGCATGATATAGTCTACTAAAGTTACATAGGGGTGAAAGGGTCAAATAAGATAATGATTTCAACAGATTATCAGTTAATGATTATCATAATAAATCAGTTTTTGAATCATTTGTGTGGCAGGACTATTATTGATCATCAGAACAACACTACCGATAGTGTTTCATTTGTAGAAACTATTTTGTAATACATGGTAGAACGGGCAGGAATATAAGGAAGGGCAAGGGACATTGGCCATACTGATATATATGTGAATTCAAAAATTAAACTGACCCAAAACATTTAATTAAATTTCATGTATTGGTAGATTTGTAGAAATCTGTCCTATTATAAATTATAATCTTTCATAACTTAAAGCTGTAAGTTACTAAACCAAACTGTGGAACTTTTGCAAAATAATGTTGGAACACACATTAAATTATGTGTTAAAAAATCAATCTAGTATCAATTAAACAACCAGAATGAGCCAAATATGCCTACTTTGTCATGTCACTTTGATAAAATAACCAACTTAACGTTAACCCTGTAACAAAAGTATTTTGCTTCACACACACATATATATTTGTATAATTTAAAACCCAGCTCCGGATTGCTGGAAACTGCATCTCAGAAACCTGCACAATCGACCTGATTTCATGCCATAATCCTTTCTTTAGAAGTCTGTGTAATGTATCAATGTAGGGATTGTAAGGGCATGTTGTGAGGTACTGCTGCCAAACAGTGGCGTGCAGCTAGGCCTTAATGAGGAGGTGCAGTGGATCTGGAGCTACTTACACTGGAATATATAACAATGGTGGGAGGGTCTTAATTAGAGGACAGGTTCACAGCTGTGAGGCCGGGGTCAGGATAACGAGAGGATCCATCTCGCCATGTGTGTCCTTTACCAACAGGACATGCACAGTCTAATTGGGTTTTTTTCATGTCCTTAATTCGTGTTCTTTAGCAGTATCAAATCATGTGCAAATCAGATAACATGTTCTCGTGATTGAATTCGCATAAAACATGCCATTCTAAATTTAAATTTTAAAAAATGCTTGAGGAAAATAAAAATATTATGGCACGTTTCAAGAAAAAGATAAAATACCAAGGTAGGTTTGATCTTTTAAATGCCAATCACCCATTCTGGTATACACATGCAGTTAAAATTGTTGTGTGTAAGCAAATTCAAGAGTTAATTCATCAGGAAATAATTATTTCAAGTGATAGAATTAAACCCAGAGACATATGCATCTAGACATCTAGAACATGTGTCCAAAACAAAGGTTAAAAGGTTTGCTATTGATATGGGATTTCCAAGCCTGACACTTTTTGCAAGTTGTTCCACTACGTAGGTATTTCCTTTAGTCCTCTTTGCATAGTTCTTTTCTTAATTTGCATTGATGTTCCCATTCGAGGGTTCACAAAAATTGCAGGGAACTTAAAATATTTCAAAGATATGTCTGACTCTTGTATTCCTATTGTCTGCTTTGTTACTTCATGTACAAACATGCGTCTTTAGTTTCCAAGACCTGTATAGATACATAATGTAAGTCCTACTGGTCCTAAACTCTATATAAAGATAGAAGTCTAATTTGACTGAAGTATTATGGTATGGGTTGTCCGGCATTCTCCTCCTACATTTTTCGACCGATCTCTTTGACACTTGGTATACATTATAATCATGATATGAAGTTGTGTCTCCCTTTAAAGAATTTTGTCCGGCATTCTCCTCCTACATTTTTCGACCGATCTCTTTGACACTTGGTATACATTATAATCATGATATGAAGTTGTGTCTCCCTTTAAAGAATTTTGTCCGGCATTCTCCTCCTACATTTTTCGACCGATCTCTTTGACACTTGGTATACATTATAATCATGATATGAAGTTGTGTCTCCCTTTAAAGAATTTTGTCCGGCATTCTCCTCCTACATTTTTCGACCGATCTCTTTGACACTTGGTATACATTATAATCATGATATGAAGTTGTGTCTCCCTTTAAAGAATTTTAATGTACAATTTTTCTAAAAGTTATTGCCCTTTGTTCATTTCAGTATTTGATTTTTTGTCCGGAGATCTCCTATATTTTTTGATGGATTTCTGTGAAACTTAATAGGCTAAATAATCATGGTATGTTGTGTTTCCTTGAAAAGAATTTTGATTCAACAATTTTTGCATAAGTTATTGCCCTTTGTTTATTTAAGTATTTGATTTTTTCCGGCAATCTCCTCCTACATTTTTCAACCGATCTCTTAGAAACTTGGTATACATTATAATCATGATATGACATTGTGTCTCCCTTAAAAGAATTTTGATTCAACAATTTTTCTAAAAGTTATTGCCCTTTGTTCATTTCCGTAGTTTTTTGTCCGGAGATTTTGAGAATGATGCAGATCTTATTTCAATGTAAAAAAGTATATAACACTATATGGCATTCGACGGGCGTATATTGTTCCACCCCGCTGTACTCTTGTTAACTTTGCTATAATACACGTGCTCTGAGATTTAAAAATGTGCTCAGTACTTTGCTATACTAAGATTTCAAAAACTGCCCTTTACTATGCTATACTGAGATTTTAATATCTGCCCTTAACTTTGCTATACCGAGGTTTTAAAATATGGACTTAACTTCGCTATACCGAGATTTTAAAATCTGCCCTTTACTTTACTTTGCTATATTGAGAATTTAGAATATGCCCTTTACTTCGCTGTATATATACTGAGATTTTAAAATATGCCCTTACTTCGCTATACCGAAATTTTAAAATCTGACCTTTAATTTGCTATACTGAGATTTTAAAATCTGCCCTTTACTTTGCTATACTGAGATTTTTAATGTATTGTATCGAGATTACACTGGTATTTCCAGGTAATTTTCGGTGTTATACTTTCCACATCCTACTTCCAAGTCTGAAGTTCCTTGCTTTACAGAATTCCAGATCTTTCAAATAAACCCAAGTGTCATATATATACAGCTTGTTTGTTATAGAGTTTTCCTAGTCCTTCTTGCTTAGATTGCTATACTGAGATATCCATGTTTGATACTTTGCTGTACAGATATTTTTGCTTCCTAATTTCCTAATCGCTCCATACAGGAATTTTGAAGTACTACTGGAACAAATTATACAGATTTTACAGTGCTACACACACTGGTACTCCAGAGCCATATATTGTGTTCAAGAGTTTCAGAAGACTCTGAAGGAAATTCAATTATTTTGGTAACAATGAAAAACTTGCTGTGTGATGATAAGATGCTGGTGAGAATGATAAAGCCAACATATATTTAGATTTGTAGACTTAAACATGTACATTGCCTCTGGGGTACGTCTTCAAAAGTAATAACGTTCTGTAACAATATTTAGAAACAAGTGTTTACAACATAAAAGTGCCATGAAAACAGTGATTAACAGGTGATGAAGCTATAAAATTAAATACATTGTATTTGATAAACTGATCTCCCTGTGGTAGTTAAAACAGAATGGGCATACTGTGGAGTTATAGGAGCATACACCGATCACAATAA